TTACATTTATATTTATATTTATATTTACATTTATATTTATATTTATACTTATATTTATATTTATAGGTATGTGTATATCTACATGAATATTTTATTTATTTATTTACCTATTATTTAATTTTTATTTTCTTTTTTATTTATTCGTCTATTTATTTATTATATATTTATTTATTTAATACGTCATTATTTTATTTCTATCATTTATTTATTGTTTAAATTTTTTATATTTCTTTATTATATATTTACTTATTTTACGTAATTATTTTATTTCTAGATTTTTATTTATCTACTGGTTTTATTTTAATTTATTATTTATTATTTAACATAAAATTATTTCATGTCTATTTTCATTTATTTATTTATTATTTATTTTATATATAATTATTTTATTTCTAGATTTTATTTCTAGATTTTATTTATTTATTATTTCCCATTTCCCAACTTTTCTCCCATTTTTTCCCCCTCTTTGTCTCTCCCAGTTTCTGGCGCTGCCTGGATGTGTTTTATTTTTATTTTTCTGCTTTTTTTTTTTTTTAATCTTCTATTTCTTTATTTTATACATATATTTATTTATAGATATACTTATTTTATTTATATATATTTAATTTATAAACATATTTATATACGCTTAATTTCTAGATATATTTATTTTATTTATATATATTTAATATCTCTCTATATATTTATACATGCATTTATACATATATTTAGTTTCTAGATATATTTATTTTATTTGTATATCTTTAATTTGATTCAATTATTTGTATATATTTAATTTATTTACACACATTTAATTTATTTATACATATTTAATTTATTTAATTATTTTTAATTTATTTTTTTATTTTGCCATTTTTATTTATTTTTAATTCATCATTTTTATTTCTCCATTTCCCAACTTTTATCCCATTTTCCCCTGTTCTCCCCCAGTTTGCGGCGCTGCCTGGACGTGTTTTATTTTTATTTTTCCGCTTTTTTAATTTATTTTTTATTTATTTATTTTTTATACATATTTATTTCTATATATATTCCTTTTATTTATATATATTTAATTTCTATATATATATTTATACATGTACTTATATATATATATTTAATTTATAGATATATTTTTTATTTATATTTATATTTATTTATACATGCGTTTATATATATTTAATTTCAAGAATTATTTATTTTATTTGTATATCTTTAATTTGATTAAATTATTTATCTATATTTAATTTATTTATCTATATTTAATTTATTTATCTATATTTAATTTATCTATATTATATTTATTTATCTACATTTAATTTATTTATGCACATTTAATTTATTTACACATATTTAATTTATTTATCTATATTTAATTTACTTATACACATTTAATTTATTTACACATATTTAATTTATTTATCTATATTTAATTTATATATCTATATTTAATTTATTTATACACATTTAATTTATTTACGCATATTTAATTTATTTACACATATTTAATTTATTTATCTATATTTAATTTATTTATACACATTTAATTTATTTACACATATTTAATTTATTTACACATATTTAATTTATTTATCTATATTTAATTT